TGAAAATAGAACTCAGGGTCAGAATGAACCGATCGATATTCATGTGGCTATAATACAAAGCCTTTATAATAGTTTAACTGAACCAGGTAATCATGATGAATCAGGACAAATATTCTACCGAAATGCATTGATCCATTGATTTCACATGACATTATTAGCATTCAGGAAATTATTTCTGTTGTGAAAAAATTGATCAAGCTTCACAGATTAAACAAAAATATTTACCACCTGAGTCAGTGATTTGTCTTATATCTGATTTTTCATTATTCGAAGGTGAGGATGGAAATAATCGAAATAATAAAAAACAATTCAAGATTTAAAAAACATTTAATAAATCTCCATTTCTCAACAAGCAGTTATGTCAGACTCAAGCAAGTACGTTTTCGTCACATTTCCCTGTTAAACGTTATAGATGTGGAAAAGTTGGTCATAAGTTCCTATGTCCTAGAGTGTAGAGGACATGAAAAAAGTTTCGTCAAAACTGTGAAAAATCTTATTTTTATAAAAGAAACTGTCCTTCGTACAATCTGGAAACACGAGTAACGAAGACTCATGATTCAGACCGTCAGGATGTTTTCATTAGAAAATATCTAACACATGATAATTCTCGAAGATATAGATTTGAAAAACTAAATGAACTTGCTACAGAAATGAGTTTATCACCTCTCTAATTTGTAGTCAATTCTTCAAGCTCTGGAGTTGAAAAAGATAAGAAAAGTTTCCTTTGTTCGTTTCTGTTCTGGGCATATCTCTGAGTGATCTTGAACCTTGGTACCTGAAAATGAGAAAAGGCATTATATGAAACCCTGAAAATATCTTCTGTGGATAATAAAACGTTAAAAGGTAAGACCTCGTTAATCCTTAGCTCGCATAAGTTTCGACTTCTGAGGGTTGTCGTTCGTAGGGGTGCGACAGCTGGTTAACGGAAAAACAGATTTTAAACAGATTTTTTTCAAACAGATAAGCATACTCCCAGAAAAATTGCTTTAAGAACAAATTCAGAATGGAAATCGTTAGTACCTCTTGACCAAAGGCAGAAAGTAATTGGCTTCTGCTCATTCAACTTTGAAATAGGTGGCAGAACAATTATATTGGCCACAAATGAGAAAAAATATTTTAAAGTATGTCAGAGTATGTCACATTTGCTGTGGTCCGAAATATTTTAATGTTCAACGTTTTTATTTGATAAAGCAGGAAAAAAAGCTAGTTTTTCATTTTGATCGGTCAATGATGTTATGGGACCCTTCCCAAGAAGTTCCAAGGGCAATAAATTCCAGATTGTTTTTTCAGATTTTTCTTCAAAGTTTATTTTAATGAAAACTATTAGAAACGACACAGCTTAAACTATCACAACATTTTTAGAGGAAGTTGTCTCAACTTTTGGTATTCTCCAAGATTTATTATTAGATAGTGCAACTGCTCATAAAGGTCAATTGTTTAATGACTTCATCAAGAAATATAAAATTCTTAAAGTAATGTACACTTGTCGTTATCAACGAAATGAAAATCCCATAAAGATAAATAATAGGACAATACGTACAGCTTTTAAGTGTTTCATTGAAGACTCTAATAAACAGTGGAATGAGGAAATTTTAAAAACTCAGCATGCCATTAATTCTGCTACTGCTGGTAGGATTGTTCCAGCTGATGGCGAATATTATGGTGATGTCATCCATTATGAATTGAACAATAATTTCCAAGCTGGAAAAACGTATAGTGAAGAGTTATAAAAACTACCTTCTGTTCATGAAGCGCAAGACAAATTGAAAAGCTAATATCAGAGAAACACTTATTACTATAACTTGAGAAAACCTAAGCATATTTTTCAAGTAGGTGAAAAAGTCCGGAAACGAAATGTCAAATTATCATCACGTTTTGTATTATTTGACATCAGGAGAGCCCTGTCCAAAGTAGTTTATGAATTAGGAAATTTGAATAGATCCAATGCACATCTCAAAATTGCAACCTTTTCATGGGTCAGAATCTGATTTGTGAGATTGAATTTTTCTGTATAACATTGTACTACTGTCTGACCTAATGCATCTCCGACTTTTGTATTACATTTTTTTCAATACAAAAATATAACTTAGTTCATTTGCAAGGAAAACAAATCATGGTGACTCCAAATGGGTTAAATGTCAATCACAGAAAATGCAAATGAAGTGTTCACAATCATCTTCGAGTGATAACTGACTCTTTGATGAAGAAGATCGAATGTGAACCATATTCCAAACATTATTCGTTTTTTTATAAAATGCCGGTTTTATTGGGTGACAGGTCAAATCTACGGAAAATCAATAAAATAATGATACGTCATTGATATGGACTCAACTACAAATAGCAATTATATCATATCAAAAAATCAATAACGAACATCTCCTGATAAGGCAACTCAAATTTGAAAACGTGGATTGAAAATATTATATATTAATATTTATATTTAATATAAATATTAAATATTCCGTTGGATTTTTCATTTAACTCATATTTATATCTAAGACAACCGTCATAAAAATCCAAATCAAAAGTACAAGTAAACAAGTACTAGAAACGGGAGCGTGCATTATTAAATATAAATCTGAAACAATTTTAATGTAAATTTAATTGACTTGATGTTTTTGTGAATATGGTTTTTGGCTATTACATTAGTAAAAGCTATCAACAAGGCAAAAAATGGAGAAGAATATTGTGTAAAACAAGACTCCTATACTCCCTGGACAAAATGTTTGTTAGTCAACACTGTAATAAAATGACTACTAGCGCCAAAACTCGAAGCTGAGACCAAAACTAAGAAGAAGAAGAACTATCGGGTATCTGTAAAGTGGGGAGGGTGAGTGTAGACTCACAGCACTTAGGCCACATGTGACCCATTGTACATCCTCCCGAGAAGTTGTTCTCCTAGGTCATCGTCCATCCTGTCCTTTCCAGGAAGGTGAACAGGTCACTAGCATACATCTCCTTTATATTGGCGGGTGTAGGCCAAGACTCGCCGAACACATACTCTCTTTGGCAACCTTGAGGTGTCTCATAGTGGCCTCCGCAAAGGTTTTGGAAGGTGCAGCGATAATACTGTCAACCTTCTCGGGGTTCCCTCTGTGGAGGTGCACAAGTGAGGGAGCTTTCCTGCAGGGACAGCCGATTCTTCGCCTCTATTCAAGGCGGAGCTCTTGACGCCCGCCACAGGAAGTGTCCTTGCTGTTGAAGTTGATCTGCTATGTCCAGCCTCATTCCAAGCGGTAAATTGGGGTGGACATTTTTGTACATCCCCAGCCACCACCTTAGATTGAGGTGAGCACTTCTCGGAATTGATTTTTGTTTTTGTTGTTTCATTCATGTGTGTTCCCATGAGTAGTAAGGGAAGAGTTGGTCACTTCTGGCAGAGCTCTGCATTACCAGAGGTGGACTGATTACAATGAGCTTTTGCCTAGTTCCCCAAGGGGATCGTTCGTGACCGCATATCACCCTGCGGCCATTCAGCTGTCAGCATGATTCCTTACATCTTAGCTTGGGTAGGCTGGTCCACGGTGGCATGTTTTGCAAAGGTTTCTGGGAGGTTTTAGTTCCCCTTGCCCAAATTATTTCTGCCACTTACCAGGAAACCGGCAACCCCGTCCGTAAGGCCACATTGGCTTCCCGGACAGGGCCTTCAGTCTCCTAGCCGTTCCCCTATCCACCACCTGGGGACGCCCGATAGGCAGCCCAACCCACAGGGAAGAAGAACTACTATACAAGAAACTATTGTGAAAAAATCATGATGACTCTAGGATTTGTTGAAATTAACAAATTCAAAACATGATTGATATCTGTAGAGACCTCAATAGTTGAAAATTATTCTGATGGATGATTCTCAAAATGTCTGATTGAATAATCACTACGTGCTCTCTATCAGAAAAGACCCTTTGAAAATTCCATCGTACATACATATGATCGAGTTCAGTTCAGCACTCAGGTTATGTTACCAACTGTTCAAATATATACACGAAGTCCACCGATTCTAAGTATGACGTTACTGGAAGTAGATATATTTGTTTGTACCTCACTTCTCGCTTTACTCTAATCACTATGAAAAACACGTTTATGACTGCATATGACTGTTTACGTCAATTTGTATACCTTACTGTAAAATGAATAAGAATAAACAATATGAAATTTGAATAGGTGTCAGCATTCAAATTATGATTTGTTTGAAATCTGTTTAAAATCTGTTTTTCCGTTAATGAGCTGTCGCCCCCATACGAACGACAACTCTCAGAAGTTGAGAAACTTGTGCGAGCTAAGGAATAACGAGGTCTTACCCTTCAACGTGTGATTTCTGACACGGTTCATTTGGAATACTACTGCAGACTACTTTGAAGAATTCCAGATCTCTGAAAATAAAAATTAAATAATTGGTATGTTACAATCTACAAATTGAAACTGACAGAAAAGGTTTTTTCGTGTTCAGATTGTATCGCGAACAATATAAAATGAAAAGTGGAAAAATGGTATGTTACAATATTTTGCCTACAGATTGAATATTCAATAGATGATCACTTGGTGATCGAAACACCTGTCGAGGTGTTAAATAACGGTTTGGTGTCGTGAAAAAACTCCAGTAATATTCATTACTACACCAAAGGATTCAAACAGTGTATCACAAAAAAATTGAAGGCAAAGTTTGGTAATTTGGACTCTTCAGTGGTTCATGATTATTATGCATGAACTTTTCCCTTTGCCTTTTATTACAAGTGATCAGATTTTCTGTTTTCTGTTTCACAGAAATTTCAACTTGAAAAATCAAAATTTTGACTTCAAACTCGGAACAGCTGGATGAAAACAGCATAAAACATCTGTAATTTTGAAATGAAACTCTAATTTAACGAAATATATAACTTCAATCTGTGGTTTTGGAGACAAGAATAGGATCGTTATCATTCGAGAACTCTGATAAATAAAAAACATTCCCAATGATAATTGTTTGTTCTTGATTATTTCCGCTACACAACACAATTTTGACCACTGAATATGTAATCAGTTTCAGAAAACGATAAAAGACAGGAACTGGTCAAGTTACGGAACTACCCAAGAGGTAACCTGAATATTATAGATCAAATATCAAAAAATTACATCGTTTAGAGTTCGTAAGTGAAAGAGATGATATCGACAGCACAATTGATGATATACGTATTCATTTTGGCATTTGTAAGTACTTTTCCCAACTTTATATGCATTGAATCAGTCTGCTAAATTTTCTGAATAATTGTTTGAATGATTTCTCAGGCGAGTAACTGAATGTTTGATTGGGAAGATTTCAGTTATTTGAGAGATTAAACGATGTAAACGCTATATTATAGTTGAATTATTGAATAGTATCTTATATGCCAAAACCGATCGGATGTATTGTTATGGATTGAAAATATTCAACGACCTAGATATACAGCGTGACTCACGGTCGACGGTAGGTTAGACGTTTCTGGAAAACGCAAAGCATGATTTTTCTGAAAATTTCACCTCTCACATTTCCTTACCTGTTCTATCGATCTAAAATATTTTCAGCATTGCTGAAACACCCCGTATATTATTACATTTTTGGAATCGCTCTGGTATTTAAATATTTTTTTTGTTGAGAATGTCCTATACCTATCTCTATCCGTTTTCGAAATAAAAAATGAATTGTGCTAAATATGGTCCAAAACATAGCCTTAATTGAAATTAAGTACATCAGTACTCTCAATTCATAAAAAGTTGATATTTTGATGATAGTTTGCACAAACTTGAAATATTCAAATAACATCAAGAAATTGACTCCATATTATACAGGGCGTACTAAAATTACTATTATTTCCATTGTGCATAAAAGTAGTCAAAAGTTCATTTTTTCAAATAAAACCCCCTGTATATTACTCGGTAAATTGAAAGATGATGAAAAATGCTTCAAGATGATATATCATGTCCCTATACATAAATCGTCAAGTTATCTCAATAAAGTCGCTTCTTCTAGAAACTTATTTTTTTTTAGAATTTGGATTTAGGTAGCAGTGGAATTATCAAGCTCATAGCAGTTCGGTTACTTTTATAAGTAATTTACAAAGAGTTATCGACGGTGTTTCGAATCACCTTCCAAAATGAATGCAAATATCGATTATTCAAACGGAGTTCTTATGAAATTATTTATTATACACATGAACAAAGCGATCAAATCATTGTCAGAATGTGTGAAAAATTTAACCAAATGTATCCTGAATTAACACCAATGAACGAGAGGAAGTTTGTAAGGTTACAAAATGATTTCCTTAACTATGGCTCATAGTTAAGTACAGTTGTTCCAGGGAACAACTGTACTTAAAACATGTAAAAGTACAGACAATAACAGAATAGGATAATTCAAAATAACAAAATTGTAAACAAAATATCACATTTTCACAAGTAATGCTGTCGTGTGGTAGGTACCTCTGAAACAGGCGAGAATATTTGTACCAAAACTGAATATGTTTTTTATCCACTATAGTGGTCTCCAACCTGTTCATGAATATGTCTGATTAAAGTGGACTAAGGGGTGAGCTCATTGGTAAACCTGAATCCTGTTTATGAAATTTGTTGTTGAACTGTAGGTAGCTCTGATTTAGGCACACATCGAAAGCTATCAAAGGAAGTGATATGGTCTACTTTGGCTTGATCTATATCTAAAATGAGGCGCTTCCACTCGTTGTACGGTATGTTGGAGAACATACTCTAAACATCGAATGAAACTAAAATTGAATTATGTGGCGTGGTTTGGTTCCGTATGTTTTCTATTAAAGTCAGTGAATTTTCAATGCTGTGAGGTGGGACGAAATTGGTAATATTTTTGAACAACTTGTTAAGGTGTATTCCAAGTTCTCTTACCGGACTATTTATATACGAAACCACCGGACTTATGGGGTTATCCTCTTTATGTGTTTTTATCAGGCCATATAGTTTAGGGCAAGAGGGGTTCATGTTGGTGATTCCCTTTTTCTCTGATTCCGTGAAAATGATTGTATTATCTGATTCCTGGTGCATCTGAATACGGTATGGGTGAAATTTGCATTTTTGTACTACCCCGGCAATGCTCCGTTTGCTTATCCCTCTATCTTTCTCGATCTTACGTTGACTCGTATGAAGATTTTCTATGATTGATCACACAATGAGAAATTCATTTTCCTCATTTACAATGATAGATTTTGGTTGATTTGCCTTTTCATAAACCACAGTTTCTATCTATCTAGCAATTGTTTGGAAACCAACTTGTTTTGGTCTGGATATTTTTGGGCATACACCCTCGACGCCAAAAGGCAATTCTATAAACACTCACCTAAAACCAAATTGTGACCCCATTAGGATATATTTTTCGGAAAAAGAAAGTTTTGGCTTTCTACTTCTTCATCTTGACACAAAAAATGTGGGAATCTTCCAAAGAAAGGAAGGAAGCAATCAATTTCAAAAATTACCTCTATACAAAGATTTGTAGATCATACAAAGAATTAACTTTCAGACACAAACTGGAAGAAAATACCTTTTCGAAACAGCTATTTTCATATAAACATTGAATTACACGAAAGAAAAATACTTTCGAAAGGAATACTTTTATATGAATACTAAATTATACGAAAACATACTTTTTTGTACAACTGTCATTAAAAGTGACATTTTTAAAGGTTGCCAAGAGAATTGAAAGATGATGTTCACAAAGTAGTGTGTTAAACATTTTTTTAACTCGATTTTTTTCGACTAAATGGCGATAAACAAAACATAATTATTCAATGTTCAAAGAAGTTTTTTTATGAACGATATACATAGATACAATTGAATTCTGTTACAAATGTATTAATTACATTATTATTATTTATGAACATTAATATGAAAAGTACAATTAGAACAACTGCTGAAATTAATACCTTACGATGTTGAAGAGCCTTGTAATATATTTGAACTATCTGAGTTGACAATTTCATGGGCATTAACATAGTAGAGGGCAATATCCAAACGTGTTTATACCAACTGGGTTGGCACAGTATTCATAATTTGTCTTCATCATCTAATATTTTTCAACTGGTGCCTCATTTATAAACTTCTGGACTTGTTCAAACACAAGAGTTTTTAATTTTTTGGGACTATAACATTCATTTCTTCGTTTCAAGAATGTTATTACCTTGAAATATTTGCTTGTAGTAACACCGTTTTTAACGAGCGCACTCGACTTTATCATTGAAAACTTGCTCCACAAAGTTGACGAGTTCCATATTTTTCATTCCTCTTCTAAATAGTCTAAGAAGACGGTTTTGCTGAAATTTCCTTTCACGTTTTCAAGTCTACATCAGCTAAGAAAATTAGAATATGCAATGTCGTACTGCTGAGCCGATTTTTTTGCTATCTAATGATTCAGTTGAAGCTCTTTTTGCAGCCTCTTCAATATTGTCACGAACACACAATTCCTCACTATTGTTCTTCATTATGCAAGACATTAAACACCAGCAAGAACTTCAAATGTGACTTTGAATAAAACTCATAATCTGTAAACAATAGGTACTGTTTGTAGGTAAACAATAGGTACTGTTTGTAAGTAACCAGGTGATTCGGCGTCACCTGACACGGCCACTTCACAGCAAATGCGATAACTTGAAAATAGTTAATCGACAAGAGAAGTGTGTTTATATAGAAATATTAAATTTATCTATTCTATTATGAAAACAGGACAGTTCTACAGAAAACTTTTATAATATTTTTGTTAAAATTAGGTTTTATTTTATTCGTTTTTCACTCACAAAATATAACCTCACTTTCAACTCATATCATAAATAGATATTCTCTATTCCGTTTGTATTGCAAACATTCGTTGTGGAATCTAATCAGATATCAATCAGAGGATTTCTATACAACATAAATAATGAAATAGGAAAAAATTTCACTCACATGGAACACTGTCCTTACTTTTGTTTGAAGGTGATTGACAATGTTTCATGATGAATTTCACTAGTAAGGACTTCCATTGTCTACTATATAAAATGATTTGAAATCCCTGAAACAAGTAAAAGAGAATAATTAAAAATGAGTAGCTGAAAATAATAATTATATTAACCAAAATAAACCTGAAATGAAATAATAGTGAAATAAAATACAAGTAAAAATAGAACAATTGAATAAATAAAAAAAATTGAAAAAGAAAGAAAATAAAAATGAAAAATGGAGAGATTCCAAGTCACGTTAGTTCACGAAGTTTCGATTGTTAGATCTACAATTGTCTTCGATTGCTAGACATCCGATGTTTCGCCGTAAAACATTTACCTTGTTGGCTTTTCAGTAGCAAATACGGTTAACATTATTAGAAACAACAATTCTTTCATAAGTAGAAAGTCAAAACCTTTCTTTCCCAAAAATTAATCTCTTCTCAAAAAGTACCCTTTCAATTTAGACATTTTTCTCATTTAGGTATTTTAAGAATTGTATTGAATAATAATTTCAATAATGTGTATACCTCTATAATGATATACCTCTATAATTATTCATATCAAACTCATTTCCATTTTGAAAAGAGGTATTATGGGCAATTTTCTAAGAAATTGTCCATAATAAATAGGAATGTCAAAAGAATTTGTAAATGCAAGATATTTTCTCACATAATCGATTTTGGTATCTCAGCATACCCAGATTGAGTGCTTCAACACTAACTATTATGCCAGATTCCATGAGTGATAAAAAAAATTGGATCATTGAAGTTGCTTTTTCTAACATATAGGAGTATGAGTGTAGGATGTTATGAATTGGAACAACCGACTGTTTTATACATCTAAAATTGTGCAATGTCATGAGGTTGAGTTGAAACTAAGTAATTTTCAGTTATATGCATGTTTTTCAATAAATGAATATATTATTTTGTTAAATGAAGAACAAGATCCAAAAAATCAGTAATGGAATTATGAAAATACATAGTTTTGACTAAATGTATGCCATGCCTGAATATTTCACACTATTGTTTGATATACTCATGAATTGATGAATTGTTAGTGTATTTCTTTTCCTCCAACAGAAATCTTTTGTTGGCATATGATTTTTCAATACTTGTTGTCATCCAGTCTTTGAGTACTATCTACAATATGCATTATTTTTCACAGGTTCACATAAGAGCAGAAAGAATCCTGACTGACCCATTACAATGGAAAGATGGAACATCTACCACGCTTCATCCAAATTTTACAACGACTAATTGGACCCGCATAACTACAAATGGTGATAGAAATACTCACCTATATGCAACAACACCACAATGGAATTGGAAAATACCTGCAATGAATGAATTCTCTCCAATTGAGGAGAGCAGTACTCCAGAAACAACTTCGTACTCTACTATACCTTTTTTGTATCGAACTACACCTAGATGGACTAACCCATCTCCAAAGAGTAGAACTACCCAGTGGTATTCAACTACACCCCCTTGGAATTGGGAAGGACAAAGTAGTAATGAAGTAACTACAAGTGAAGAGAATAGTACTGATGAAACAAGTGAGGAGGGTAATGAACCTGTAACCACTCCATACCCAACCAAACCTCATTGGTATCGGACTACACCTATATGGACTAAGCCATCTCTAAAAAGAAGAACTACCCAGTGGTACCCAACTACACCACCTTGGAATTGGAGAAGACCCAACGGGAATGAAATAACTACGAATGGAGAAAATAAGATTACTGAAACAAATGAAGAGAGTAATGAACCTAAAACAACTCTATACTCAACCAAACCTCATTGGTATCGAACTACACCTATATGGACGAACCCACCTCTAATAAGTGAGGCAACTACTCGTTGGTATCCAACTACGCCTTTTCGGAGTTGGAGGAGACCTATCTGGTATCGAACAACACCCAGATGGTCGAACTCATTTCAGACAACTGTCAGGACTACTCCTTGGTACCCGCCAACACCTTCGATGATTTGGAAGAAACATACATGGGATACGAAAACTTCAAATGAAGAGACTACTACCACCTCTGGGTACCAAACTACATCTCATTTATATAGGACAACTTCCGGCATTGTCGTCCCTCCCGCTGTTCCTGTGGGGGTTGATAGTTGGATTACTTTCAGTAATGATAGGAGTACTACGTGGTTCCCATATGCACCGATTCGGCATCCAACTACACCCAGGTGGACTAACACATTTCCACAAAGGGGTACAACTAATCGTTGGTATCGTCCTGGATCTTATTGGCACTGGAGGAGATTAAACAAAAATTGGAAAACTTTGACGACTACCATAGTTCCACCTCATTCTTTCTGGAGTACAGGAATTTTGGATAACACAAATCCTGATTCTGCTAGAACTACCCGTAGGGATAGAACAACACCTCGTTCGTTCTGGGAAAGGCCCAGCCAGAATGATGAATTTTCAAATAACTATAGTACCAGTCCTTGGAATCAAAGATTGTATGATTCAAATTGGACCTTACCTAGCTGGAATCAAACTTCTCTGAATGCTAACAGAAGTATATTCTGGTCTCATTCAAATTGGACAAAGTCTGATTGGGATGGGACGATTCCTCATAACTGGTATGCAACAACACCCTATTCGTTTTGGAAAACATCAAAGAGTGTCAATAGAATAGCTGAACGATTTCGGACTCTCCCGAATTCAACATATCGCTGGAATATTACTTACGCACCCAAAGTTGACGATATCACCAAACAACCAAATGATAAAACTACAAAACATCATGAAGTAAATATCGATTTAGATGTTGATGTAATAATAATTCAAAACAACAGTAATTTCACTGTGAATATCAACTGAATGGTACTCGTTTCACCACGAATATCCGCTTTAACTCGCGCTCAGAAAAGTGTGAAGAAAAATTTTTATCTGTCTGAATGATGGAACAATCTTGAAAAAACAACTTGAAGAGTAGTAGAAAGTAGTAAAATAATGTTAAGTAGAAATTTTTTTGGAGACCTTTTCCAGTTTCGAACTTCTCGTTTCAACGAAAAGACAGGGAACGTAGGACAAACCATTTATATAGGCAATTGATTATACAGGGCATTCAAATGAGAAATTGTCTCACTATGACCCATAAATTGCGTTTCAATGAACTTCTCAAAGCATACGTCTTTCACAATTCATTATGGAATATTTCTGCGGTAATTTCGTTAAGACAGATTTCCACCAAATAGACTCGCTGGCGGTAGCTTCGTTTTTAAAAACAGAAACAAAGAACTTGTTTCAGTTTCGTATACGAACTTGAATTCCACCAAACTGACAAAAACTAGTTTGAGTCACGTGTTTTGTTGTAAACTGTTTTCTATTGTTTCCACTACACGAACAGCAATTGAATTGCTGCATTCTTTAACTGTCCATTGTTATTTTTTGCCCCTGTTCTTTAAAGAAAAATCAAATATCATTCTAGTTCGAGATAAACAATTCAACAAAAATAGCCTGCCTAGTGCCGATAATCGAAACTTATACCCACCGCAGATTAACACTTTCTGATATCTCTGGTATCTGTTGAGTAGGGAGGGTGAGTGTAGACTCACAGCACTTAGGCCACATGTGATCCATTGTACATATTCCCGAGGAATTGACCTCCTAGGTCATCGTCCATCCTGTCCTTTCCAGGAAGGTGGACAGGTCACTAGGAGACATCTCCTTTATATTGGCGGGTGGAGACCAAGACTCGCCGAACACACACTTTCTTTGACAACCTTGAGGTGTCTCTCGGTGGCCTCCACGAAGGTTTTGGAAGGTGCAGCGATAACAATGTCGTTGCGCGGCTTCTTCAAATTTCTTGGGGTTCCCTCCGTAGAGGTGCACAAGTGAGGAAACTTTCCTGCAGGGGCAGCCGGTTCCTTGCCTTTATTCAAGGCGGAACTTTTGGCGCACGCCGCAGGAAGTGCCCTTGCTGTTAAAAGTAGTACTTGAACATTTGATGATTTCAGAATTTTGTGGTGGAAAAATAGTCAGAAAGTAAAAATATATATGCTACATATTGAAATAAATGATAATGAATATTCTTATGCACAATTTTTGATGATATTGGAGTCGGTAAACTTATATTGAGCTTATATCTCGTATTCCGTCGAGGTGAACTGAAAATGTCCCTCCTATATTCTTTTTGCATCAGACATACCATTTCCAAGATAAGTATGGAAGGCAAGGTCAAGATTTTATGCTTCGTGAATGAAGGTCGACAGGAATCCCTGAATCGAACCCTACACATATTTCTAACTCCTCTGTTCTGTAGTACAATCAGATGGGAATCAATGAGAGCAAAGTAAATATTTTTTGCCACAATAGTGTCCAGTTCATTTGCTGATACTCTGACTGCAAAGCATCCTGATGAATTTTTTCCACAAAGGTTATTTATGTGACCTTCAAAATCAAAATTTTTATCTATTTGTAATCCCAGAAATTTTACTGACATTTTGTTTACTAATATTTGAGTACCCAGGTAAATATCCAGTATAGAGCCTTGAGGGTGATGATGCTAGTTTTTGAGATATTAAATGACAAGAGATTAGCATCACATCAGTCTTTAATTTTTATAATATCCTTGCTGATCAAATCATGCAGTTCCCTTTCATTCTTGCAATACCAAAACAATGTAGTGTCACCTGCGAATTGAGTTATTTTTGCAGCTATGTTAATGCGGGCTGGGTCGTTAATATATAACAAGAAGAGAATTGGGCCTAGAACCGATCCTCGTGGAACACCACAAGTAACTACTGTCTGGGGATGGGATATGTTGTCCGGGAATTTAACTTTTTGAGTACGTTCTGACAGGTATGACCTGAACCATTTCAAAGATATATTTCTAAAGCAGTATACTTCTAGTCTTTGCAGCAGAATTTCATTTGTTTTCAGTTTGCATTAGTTATTAGTGAGATTATAACAATTCCTATATTTTAAAAAAACTAGTAACACTGAGGTAGGTACATATTCCAAATACCCGATTAATTTTTCAAAAGTTTATACTGATTATTTTTTCAAATTCACATCATGAATTTCCTTACCCAACAAGCGAATATTCACATCTGAATTTCCGATGAACCTATGATTTCTGATTCGCTGGTAGATCGCATAGTGTTAATACACTCGACAGTGTGCATATATTCCACCGCGGCTCCACATATTCCAGTTGATTTACCGCCTGAAATGCATATCCTGATAGGAGAGAACTTTTACATCGCTGGCAAGCAATCTTTCGGAAATGGGATTTAGATCTTGATGCAGTAATTACAGGAAATGAAATATAGGGCCGCTACTCATGCGAATTTCGCTGGCGATAATAGTTCAATGTGTCGTTGGAGTTTTTTCATTAGTGATTCGATTTTATAAACAAAAATTATGGATGATGGTGAGATAAGAAAACATCAAAATTATTTAAATGTATGTGGCCTTATTTGGGACATTTACGATAAAATCATACAAATTCAATTTTGATATTGGAGAAAATCTCATACATTAGCTGAAAAACGCCTGTGATATCTAGATTAACAAAAAGGGTGGTTTAAAAAAATCAAATTCAGAATGCTTTGAAATATAAAGAAAATAACTTTGTTTACACGAATTCACTCATATCGGTTACAGAGCACCTCAAAGTAATTTGAATAATTTCTTAGAAGCATTTAAATAAACTATCAATTATTTGTATGAAGCTTTCGTCAATATTAATGTAATTGTCAGTGGAGATTTCAACATTGACCTGTTGAAGCCTAGTAAACCTTGATCAAACGTTTTAAACCTACTTGAATAGTTCAATCTGAAACCTCAAATAAATAGGCCTACTCGTGTTGCGGGTGATTCTGCGACTTGTATGTATAATATGATTTTTAATGTAGTTTCATTACACACTGAGATCAAACATACCCTTTGTCAGACCACAGATTGCAGATAGCGACTTTCCACTACCCTTTTTAAAACAAGGATGCAAATCTAGGTACTGACAAAATACTTTAGTGAGAACAATATTGAAAACTTCATAGTCTCATTCTCAGCAGTTGAATGGTCTGAGCTTTACTGCATATCAGATGCTAATATGAAGTTTGAGTATTTCTGTGATCAATTTGTGCCACTTTTCAACATGGTGTTACCTAAACGAAAGGTGTCAAACAATAATAAGAAAAACAAATCGAAATGGGTGCCGGAGGAGTTAATAGTAGAATGTTGAATGAAATGTCAACTTCAGATAAATCAAATCAAAATGAATTTTACCATCAGAAAAAATATCTGGAGCCTAAACGAGTTTATCAAATAAAATTAAACCTTGCGAAACGAACCTCAAATGAACATAGAATAGCAGTGGCGGATAGGTTAGGTAAGTTCCAAAGTGTGTGGGTCTATTCGACCCTCCACCGCAACCCGCAAAGGTTTATTGTGGGCAGAACTCTAAAAACCTGATTCGGTCCCCAGCGGGGCAGGCACAAAATATATGCTCTGCTATTTCATCGTTAACGAGGTAGTCGGATAGTCAAGGTGCAAGATTCCCACCTTGATACCCGCGGCAACCTTCCCATATGAGGGTTTTTTCACGTCAGCTACACCTGACGATGCCTAAGATTCACCCGTGCAGGGCTTTTTCGCCTCTGGATTAGGTGAATCGTCAGTTGAGCACAAACGTTTGCTATGCTAACCTGCTCATGGGGGGTTTGTTCCTCCACCTGAGACCCCCGCTCTTGAGGAGACGACTCAGTCGTTTCCTGGCTGCACCACCAAACCCTTTTTTTTAAGTTCAGTTATTGGATCAGGAGTTGGAGAGTTGAGAAGCTCTCGCTCCTGATCCAAATTTATAAGCTCAGTTGGAGTCGTAAGCTCGACATCCATCTCTTCTGTAGACTCAGAGTCTACAGCTAACTCTGTCCATAAAAGTCCTACGAGTAGCTAGGGAAAGAAGGTCAATCGCGGCAGAACCCCGCATTACCATGACAAGGCGATGCAATGACGAAAGGGTACCCAGTACCTCGGTATTCCGTAGTGACAGATGATAGGCTCAGTGTCATTCATCTCTCGGCACGGATACACACACCTTAGGATTAAGTCATCGTTGGAATGCCATTCAGTTAGGAAATAACAAAACCACAAGTGATTCTGCCATTCCCATATCTAGCGGGGCTACGTGGAAGCAGGCATCCGATGGGCGGTTTGCTCAAGCCCCACATCCCAAGCCAATACCCTCGCCAAAAATAGCATGCACAGTGGTTCAGGCAGTGAAAGATGAACAAAGACAGCCAACCCGCCGAAGTGGCGGATAACAAAGTAAAATAATGTTGGAATATAATTGAGGAATATCAAAATAGATCAGCAAGTGATGCAATCAGTCTAACTGATAGTGAAGGAACTAGCAAGTGTGTCACCCATTCAGTAATCATTTCCCCAGTATAAACTCTGATCACATCAAACCCTCTGCAAGAAACATTAAACTTATGAAAGCTAAGGCTAACAGCATGGACCTCTCTCCAACAACCACCTACCGATGAAATTGAAGAAACCATAAAAAGTCGGAAAAGTTCTGTAGGTGTTGATGGAATTCCAGGGCATACACTGTTGTGTATTGCCGATATTATCTCAGAACCGCTGAGTCACATCATCAACCAAAGCTTTCAGGTAGGTGTGTTTTCTGGTGTCTTGAAAATATCAAAAAATTTATAAAGGTAAGGGCTCTCGTCAAGATTGTAGTAATTACCGTACAATTACCCTTCTGTGTCAGTTTGCAAAGGTAAGTGAATACTTACTATGTACGACTAGACAAGTATTTTTATAATTTCAACCTATTCAGCTCAAGTCAAAATGGATTCAGACAAAATATATCCACTGGCACTGCTATTGATGCGNCTTACTATGTACGACTAGACAAGTATTTTTATAATTTCAACCTATTCAGCTCAAGTCAAAATGGATTCAGACAAAATATATCCACTGGCACTGCTATTGATGCGCTAA